TGGGTTTGATTGCTTTTTTAATTAACTATAATGAAAGAACATAAACTTTCCCGAGTTTGCAGCGCACCTGATATAGCATACGAGGGCTATTTCCCTAAGGCAAAGGACGCATACGAGGAGGATTTTTTAAGGGCAACTAGCTCGTGTTCGCATTGCTCATGGGAAAAAAAAAAAAAAAATACAAAAACGACTAAGTAGCCACCTCATTCTCTGGGATTTTAACGCCGGCTTAACACAATTACAGTAGTCTTATTCACTCTGCCAGTGGTTGGCCTTTTACTCTGCGCGTTATATAATGGGTTCACAATGAATAAACTGTACACCGAATAACGCACACTTTCGCAGTTTGATATTAGCACCTAAGGCTGAGGGCTATAGTCCCTAGGCAAAGGGACGCAAGGGCAGAGGAGCTTGATTTCAGCTCACGCATCACGAAAAACGTACTCTAATTGGGCATAAAAAGGAATCTAAAAAAAAAACTTCGTACAAATATTGGCGAAAACAACGGAAAAAAACAAAAAGCTAAAAGCACCTCATTCTCTGGGATTTTCATTTTAACGAAAAACTGCGGAAACACTTACGCCAACAACTCAAGAAAAACCTATACAGCTTACTCTTATTCACTCTGCCTTTGCAGTTGGCCAGTTGGCCTTTTACTTGAGAATGCATGGATTAATTTTTAATAATATTAGTATTTAGTATTGCAAAACATTTACAAATGAAATTGATGCTTTCAAGGAAAAGTTTAATTGAATTACGTATTCAATCTATTAATACCGAGAAGAAGATAAAACTGAAAGCATATTGATCAAATATCAGGTCTGTCTTCTAAATTGGGTATTAAAAATCATTCAAGTGATTGTTATAGATTTGTGCATATTGTATGGATTTTTTAAAATTCGCAAACCGAAATTGCGGTAACACCATTAATTTCTTTCGACATATTTCATCCTCTGAAAATTCTCTATTCTGAAAATTTCGTTCTCTGTTTGAAAACAAAATAATGATCCTGTTAACAGCTGTACGACGGAAAGTGAGAAGCTCTTTTTTTTTTTTTTTTTCTTCTCATTCACTGCTTTTAAGCAACACTTTTTACAATACACTGTAATAAAATATGTATAACATTTTTTTACGCATAAGTATTAAACGACTACATTTTATACTGATTAGATAATCACTAGACGTCTGTTTTTATACACAGATTTGATAAGTTAAATGGAAATGCACGGAAAAGCTATTTACCTTGAGGTAGACATCTTTATAGAGAGACTTTGTAGGAAAAATTGCTGGTATTCACGTCACAACTGCAGTTTTAATGAGAAGAAAAAATAAATAAAATCTGAAAACGTTTTCAGATTTTACATTACGCCCAATTTTAAGGTTTTGTGTGTTACTTTCATTTATTAAATATCATGTTCTTCGCACTTAAACCATAGAATTCAATTCAACAGCAATATCGCAAAATAATTTTAAAATGAGCGTATCATTAGAATTTCCGAAACACAGTCTCGAGCGTTGGAGATAATTCCCCCCCCCCGTACAATATTGTCATTGCTCACTTTGAAATCGTTGAGTTTGTTTATCAAGAATTCCTTACAGTGTTCCAAAATATGAAATCGATAATAAAACAAATTCCAAATTAGGGCTTCCAGATGACCATATTTGGTGGAAGATTACGTTATTCAAAATCTGATGTCTCTAAGTACCGTTGTTTTATCACAATGCGAGAAACATACATACATTTATGAAGATTCTTCATTATTTAATTTCTTTAAATATAATACAGGGCTGTAATATTTGATGGCAACAGTTTGAAAAGTGAATCAACGCAGAAAGTGAATCGACGCAAAATGCCAAAACGAAATTAATAGCCCTTCTGGGCTAACGCCCTTTGGAATAATAAAATATTTTTATTCGGATTTAAATTGCTTATTATTTGTAAGATTGCTGTTATGAAAATTAGTCCATTTTCCCAAACATATACGAAACAATAAGCTATTTAAATATATGTTTATTATACTATAGATTACTGCGGGAGATGAATTCAGCTATCGCCTTTAAAATATGTAGTGAAAGATCCATAAGTAGCTGGTATTGGTATAATAATAACAATAATTTTAATAATAAATGAAGTTAAGTAAAAAGTTGTATAGAAAAGAATGATAATATTTATTTTATTACTCGTTTACTTCTATATTTAATAAAAATCACTTCTGCTCATTACTGTGCTTACTTAATAAAGTTCAGAACCTCTAACATATGATAGCATACGTCGAGGCGTTGCAACCATGGCCGGCGCTAGGCATTTTGTCCGATCCGGCGTAACTTTTGAAGGTTTTAAATTTTGCTTTCCGGTGCATTACTAAATTTTAAAAAACATTTTCAGCTTCTAAATGCCTCTGCCTTGTGTATTACCTAAATTTCCAAAAATTTTTGCCATCCCTAAATTTTGCTGCTCAGTGTTTTTCTAAAATTCTAAAAATTTTCCCGCCTTTTTATTCTGCACCGCTCCTGCTGTGACGTCAGTCCTGGTTTCAACGAGTATCAGTTTAAAGCTTACGATTATTTAAAAATTCTTGTAACATGTTTATTATTCTAGTATTTCCGAAAATAAAGATGTTTCTATGTTTATAACGTTAATATCAGTCTTATGCTGTCAAAAGTCTGTGATTAAAACATCTCTTGTATATTTAAATTTTCAATACTATACCGATATGCTTCTATTAAAACAAATCTTCATTAAATGTTAAGGTACGTTAAATCATTAACATTTTTAAAATTTATTTTAATGATTCTGTTCAACTTATTGTGTTGCGGATATTCGATTCTAATTAAAAAATAGGAACTTTGAATTAAATACTCTGGATTTATATATTAGCTTCAAACTGTCAAACCAGATTTTAGTTGAAGAGCGCTTAAAGTTATTATTCAATTATTTTTATTCTCCATTTCAGATATTAGATGAAGAAATAAATTCCATTTTTACTTTCAGTACGTGTTGAAAGTATTTCTGCTGTCTTGGCTAATTCGATAGCAGTATTAAAAATTCGAACAAAACATAGATGTTTGGCGACTCAACAGTTATGTGCAGCAACCCCAAAATAACAAGCTAAATTTCAGAAAAGCGAAACCCTTCCCAGCAGGGAGCCTATTAGTGCAATCACTCCCGTCGAAATTGCTGGGGGAAAGAAATCCTAACGCGAGCGTATATATGCTTGCTGGCCGCTTAGAGCAATATTTTGGTTGGACGTATATATGCTTGCTGGGCGCTTAGAAGAGGATTTTGGTTGGACGTATATATGCTTGCTGGCCGCTTAGAGCACAATTTTGGTTGAACGTATATATACGGCTCGGCCACTTGGAGGGTTAATATGTACAACATTTACAGATCATTAATCAAACATGGTGGTTCAGTTGACAAAATAATCTATATGCTTTCATAATCAAAAATCGAAATCAAATAGGAACCGAAGTGTTCCTAATCAAATAGTGTGCGAACCATCAGACATCCATCTATCGAGCTGCCGGTGGAAAGTCTATGGAAATTCAGAAGGCACGTCGCGTCGCGTTAACATGCAACCCTAGCGCCATCTATCAATTAATCAAAATAATTTCCATAATGGCTCCATGGGATTATAAAATAATATTGTCAATTTAAGAGTTTTTTCTGATTTAATAAGACTGGATACGGTTTATTATAGAAACCAGTAATGAAAGGACAAAAGTTCTTAAGAATTGCTCGAAGGATTTAATTCGAAAATATAAATCGAAACATAAATGTCACGTGCTAAAAGTGACTTTCTTCTTTTACCACTCGTATATGGATGCGAAACTAAATACTTTTGATAACTCCTGCGTACAGATTTTTTCAGACATTGCATAACAATTATACGATTTCGTTTAATTGGGCAATCAGACGAATTTCTGTCCTGTCTTCGCTTAGAATACTGCAAAACAAATTGATAAATGAAATATATGTCGAAGCAGTTAAAATATAAGTGGTATTTCAGCTTGAAGTTTCGACAAAAAAGAATAACAAAGCTTGGTAATGATTTAGTCTATGTACTCTTCACCGCATGAAGACAAGCGGTCTGCTGTTATGCTTAAACTGCTATTGAGGGTTCTCTGGAAGAGAAAATCCACACTCTGTGCACCACGGCCAAGGCCCGGGAGAACAAGCGACATAATTCAAACAATTACGTTGAGCTACAGGAGCATATTAGGTTCTTGAAGGAAATACATTGGAATCATGTACACGTGAACAATATTTCATAAGGTTAAAAACTTCATTGCATAAATCTTAGGATTATTTACATCAGTTTAATTGAATCACATACTGTACCAGATATTAAAAAAATGTTTTACAGAATATATGGAAGTATCAAAACAATAAATCACGGAAATCATTACATACAATTTACAAAACATCAGTTTAAACAACGTGAAGAAAATATGCGTATTACATTTTAAACGTTATGTAAGAATCTACTTCGCAAAAGAAAGTTCTGAGTTAGGATTAATATGCTGTGGCAAAGGCCTAAATATTATCAGAATTAATGTTAATATATGCAATTACCTTGAGAACTTTCTTTAGACCTTTTTCATTTTTCACTAGTCGAGCTCTCTATGTCTGAAGGTTATTTTGAGAGAGATCCGAGAGATGTATGTCCTCTGTTAGGGTATATTTATGTAAGTAATGCGTCAAACTGCCTACTTTACTACTGGAACACTGCAGCGTTTCTAAGGCGGAACCTTTGTAGATAGGCCGGTATACTGCAATGTTTAATGTACAGTTGGGTCACCATGCAGCTTTCTGATCTTAGGGGTGATGAGATTAGTGGAAAATAGTCATGGGGAAATATGCCTCATTATTTCTGTATTCCATTGCCTTTGCCAGCTCTTGTCCGCATTTATTTTGACTTTTGTTTTAAGTGTTGACTCCTGGTTCGGAATATGTATTGTCACGGAGAACGTGAATATTGTTGCTACCTTTTGCTAACATGTCCGCCTTTTCAATTTTCGCATCTCCTACGTGGCCTTTGATATCACATACCAGTTCACTTTTAGAGACGCCACCAGTTGTAGCTTCAATACTAGACAAGCTGTCTGGTACTGAAGCTATAAGCAGTAAGGTGGGGCTTTCAGTTAAAGACTGTTCTAAACGTTTTACCGAAAGCCTACTTGACTGCTTTAAGAATTACAAATAATTCTGCCTAAAATATAGAATCAAGGTTTCTCAGTCTACTTGACCATTGGAAAATAGAGCCATTTCCCATCTTCATGCAGAAGGCATTGGCTGTAATCGCCCTCAGCTTTTGAACCAACAGTGTATATTTCCTTCTGCTATATCACCCATAAAAACCTCATAATTATATTATGCAGGATGGATGTTAGCTGGTGATACTGTCTTAGCATAGTTAATTTTCAGGTAGGTGGCAAGGTGTGTAATAACGTCTACTCTTAATCTGAAGACTGTGCCCCATTCTTGTGTAACCAGGAGGGCTGCAAGATTAAGTATTGCATTAGTTGGCGCAGTCCTGCATGCTCTGGTTGTTAATAGAGCTGTCCCCTTTGCAGGCTCAGACCTTTTCTGACTTCATGTGCATTTAACGTGGTGCACCAAGCTGATGCTTCGCGGAAAAGTGCTGGTACTGCGTAAAAGTGCTGGTAAGTGTGATATCACATTTTTATGAGTTCTGTGAAGATGCCTCGGGTTTTTTCTGTCATCAAGAATAATCTCTTGTATTCAGGTATTCTATATGCGGAATCTAATTGAATTTATTATCTAAAACAGTGGTGTCGACACTAATCCTAATGTAAAAAACAACCGCAAGAAAAAGGATAGAAATACACATCACGTACACAGAGCCGTAGCATTTTTTCACCTACTCGCGTGTTAGCATTTTCACTCAATATCGTTTCCTCGGTTTCACACAAACGTTACTGTGTTCGCTATTGGAGCCGCTGCAAGTCTGCACAAACAGTGAATTATCCATCCACCATCCATTCTTCATTATTTAATTTCTTTAAATATACTACAGGGCTGTACTATTTGATGGCAACAGTTTGAAAGTGAATCGACGCAAAATGACAAAACGAAATTAATAGCCCTTCTGGGCTAACGTTCTTTGGAAAAATAAAAATTTTTTATTCGGATTTAAATTGCTTATTATTTGTAAGATTGCTGTTATGAAAATTAGTCCATTTTCCCAAACATATACGAAACAATAAGCTATTTAAATATATGTTTATTATACTATAGATTACTGCGGTAGATGAATTCAGCTATCGCCTTTAAAATATGTAGTGAAAGATCCATAAGTAGCTGGTATTGGTATAATAATAACAATAATTTTAATAATAAATGAAGTTAAGGAAACTTGTATAGAAAAGAATGATAATATTTATTTTATTGCTCGTTTACTTTTATATTTAATAAAAATCACTTTGCTCATTACTGTGCTCACTTAATAAAGTTCAGAACCTCTAACATATGATAGTATACGTCGAGGCGTTGCAACCATGGCCGGCGCTAGGCATTTTGTCGATCAGCGTAACTTTTGAAGGTTTTAAATTTTGCTTTCCGGTGCATTACTAAATTAAAAAACATTTTCAGCTTCTAAATGCCTCTGCCTTGTGTATTACCTAAATTCCATCTTTTTTGCCATCCTTAATTTTTGCTGCTCAGTGTTTTTCTAAATTCTAAAAATTTTCCCGCCTTTTAATTCTGCCGCTCCTGCTGTGACGTCAGCCGTGGTTTCAACGAGTATCAGTTTAAAGCTTACGATTATTTAAAATTCTTGTAATATGTTTATTATTCTAGTATTTCCGAAAATAAAGATGTTTCTATGTTTATAACGTTAATATCAGTCTTATGCTGTCAAAAGTCTGTGATTAAAACATCTCTTGTATATATAAATTTTCAATACAATACCGATATACTTCTATTAAAACAAATGTTCATTAAATGTTAAGGTACGTTATATCATTATCATTTTGAAATTTATTTTAATGATTCTGTTCAACTTATTGTGTTGCGGATAGTCGATTCTAATTAAAAAATAGGAACTTTGAATAAGTACTCTGGATTTATATATTAGCTTCAAACTGTTAAACCAGATTTTAGTTGAAGAGCGGTTATTATTCAATTATTTTTATTCTCCATTTTAGATATTAGATGAAGAAATAAATTCCATTTTTACTTTCAGTACGTGTTGAAAGTATGCTAATTCGATAAATAGTATTAAAAATTCGAACAAAACATAGATTTTTGGCGACTCAACAGTTATGTGCAGCAACCCCAAAATAACAAAAAAAAAAAAAAAAAAAAAAAAAAAAAAAAAAAAAAAAAAAAAAAAAAAAAAAAAAAAAAAAAAAAAAAAAAAAAAAAAAAAAAAAAAAAAAAAAAAAAAAAAAAAAAAAAAACAGAAAAGAGCAGGGAGCCTATTAGTGCAATCACTCCCGTCGAAATTGCTGGGGGAAAGAAATCCTAACGCTAGCGTATATATGCTTGCTAGCCGCTTAGAGCAAGATTTTGGTTGGACGTATATATGCTTGCTGGCCGCTTAGAGCACAATTTTGGTTGAACGTATATATACGGCTCGGCCACTTGGAGGGTTAATTCCTTGTCTGTGCATTCTTGTATTCCTTTACTGTTTCATCTTCAGTGTTTTTTGCTTTGTGCTTTATTGTATATTCTCGAGTCTGCAAGTTGCCTTCTAATGGTGGAAGGGTGACACTGGACAGAAGAGATGACGAATTCAAGTGAGGCTGTTATGGGCGTGAAGACCATTCCATTGTGTCCATCTAAAATAAGCAGGCAATTGGAGTTCTGCTCTGGAATGCATTATTTCTCTGACTATCCTAAGCTGCCTGTTGCCCTGTTATTCATGAGTTTATTAATTATCTTTCTACAGGCTTTTCTTCAGTCACTAAGTCAAGAATATCTTGGTCTGACAAATCTGTCTTTTTTATTCTTCTGCTTTTCAATCATTACTTCTGTGTTGTGTAACTTACATTTTAAAATCCTTGAATACCAGAATGTAAAGAATCTTTGGCACTCTCAGCTTTATGTTGACAGAAACTTCTAATTTTTTGATATTTTGAATTAATTTGCTTTGGCCATAGATTAATGTTAAATTTTTCAGTTATGGATTAATGTTGTCCAACAGCAGTTTGAACAAACAGTTGACTCTTTAATTAATTAGATTATTAACTATACAAGTTAGGTATAAAACATATAAAAAACTTAAATATGAGCTCAAGCTTTGGAACTGCAGTATAAAGTCTGTAATCAGGGCTCGTCGGGACTTTGGCGATTCCAGATTATAGATCATCAATTTAAATCTGTTAAGATGGCATGCAGAAATTATACAATTAAAAATATGAAACCATAATTTATGAAATAAAGAGCAATTATGATCTAAAGGTTATCAAATTTTTAAAAAAAAAAGCTTAATATTTATTTGTTTACTTTATTAAACATTTCTTTCAATGCGCACTTGCGTAAAGCGTGTGTTCTTTACGCGCATAGGTAAAGTTTGTAACTTTGAGGTCCGGATTACATACTTTGTACTGTATTTGACAAATTATTAATGCTAATCATTCCTGCAAACAAAAATCTTTAATGGAATTTGAAAAAACAATAAAATTGTCCTCTGTATTAACAGGGCACCATATAAATTCTTTTTATGAACTAATCTCTTAAGCCATTTCATTCTATTCTACAGCATCTTTTTATTGTACCATTTTGCCAAACTGCATTGTCTTTCCAATGTATTGTGCCGTAGCATAACAAGTGTTGTAACTTGAAAAAGCCTCACTGCTTTCTGTTTTTTAAGCCAAATTCTGAATCCCTCCCCCCCCCCAAAAAATGTAAGAAGAATGGAAAAAAAGCAATTAACATGTGTTTTTTGCAAAAACTAACCTAGTTTATTGAGAATCTAGTTTTCTTCAAGCCAAAGAAAGATCTTACAAGTATGTTGTGACATGATCATATTCTGCTGGCACTAAATTGCAGTATCTGGCTGTAATTTTTATTTGTTAGACTTCGTCAACAGCAATGCAAGTACCAAATTTTAACTTCATTTTTTTATAGTATTCAGTGTATTAAAAAGTTTCAGGTCATAAAAATTATTTAGCTGTTTCGTGCATCCTATTCTTAGAGACATCATCAATGTGATATGTGCTGATAATTCTAAAATTATACATTTTCATCAAGACTGATGTGGGAAACTGCAATCCACACACACACTTTGTATGAACTATGTTGGTGAGTGATTTGATAGCTTTGTCTATGGTTACGGAACTTCGATAGCATTGTTGCTGTTATTATCTTTCCATTTGTATCCAGTCTGTAAGGTTAGAACAACTGAGCACTTTTGTCTTAGGAATGTTTCACTGTGTTTTCAGTGTTGCTTAATTTGCATTGTTAATGATTCTGTAGTTGGAAAGAGAGATAAAGTATCTATTATTAGAATAGCAAGTCCCGGCTCTTCTTGCTTGTTCTGTCAAAAATTTATTTTATACATTCATGAAAGCATATGCTGACTTTCAGGCAAGAAAGCTGCCTTAGTTTAATATAGATTTTTTTGTCCCTAAAAGTGGGGACCTGCATCTGATCACCCTTGAAATTCATTGAGGTTTATTTAAAATCTATGCTAAACTAGCTGATTTTTTTGTCTAATTTTATATTAAAAAGTGTCTTCCTTCTGATTTGAAATCTTGACTACAAAGTTAGATATAATATCTATAGAATAGCTATAGAAGTAAAAAATTAGATTTTATAAATATCAAAATAATCAAAAGTAAAAAATTAGATATCGAAAGTAATTTTTTACTTTTGATTATTTTGATATTTATAAAAGAGAGCTATAATATTAAATAGATTCATTTCCATTATGTGTCTTGTATTAGGCTACACATCTGAATTTTTAAACATTAATGATTTCATAAATGCTCTGAACTCTAGAGGAATTTAAGGCAAGTTAGGTGAATACGCATTTGTAAAATTATACTGTCATACACAGACTATAATTCTAAGCATGCGTGTTACACATGCACTTTAAATATTATAACAAAGTAAGGAAGTTTTAATAAATTATTATATCTGTGTTTATCCTGGTAATAAAGTTCATGAGCTTCAAATAGTTTATCAATATTCATAACTTGCAGGCTCTACAGAAGAACAAGAATATGTACCTCCCAAAAATGAAGTTGTTGCAGTAACTGAAGAAGGAGCTGTGTATTCAAAAAGGTAAAGTTTTGAAATTGCAGTTCTTTAAAAGGAATTGTTTCTTTATTTCATTTATATTAGACGATGGCTGTAGTCATGTTAATGTATATTATAATTTAAATCTTTGACTGGCAAAGCATTTTGGATCAGTTCTTGAAGAGCTATGTTTAAACAACATTAATACAGAAATTATTAACTTAATTCCTGTATTAAGTTATTTTATTTGTTTTCAAAACTTCGGGGGTGGGGGGCTGTTGGCCCTGAGTTCATTCATTATCATTCATTCATTAAGTTTATATTTAGGTTGTTAAATAATATTAAGGAAAGGAAAAACACTGTTAAAATTAAGAGATGGAAAACATTTTCCTACAACATTCTCCTAAAATACCACACAAAACCTGGACAGTTGGTTGCCATGTAATGTCACTGTGGTGCTGGTGTCGCGAAATTTTCCTGTGGGCTTCACTATGCCAAAGGCTTGTCCAGCTGATAAGCTCATTTCGCTCTGCAACATAGTTGTGATTTTTATTGTCTTTCTTGAATAATCTTGTTATTTTTTGCTGTTTTTTATGTGAAATAAGTATATTTCGTCCCTTAAGTGAAGGTGTGAGAGGGAGAATCATGGATAAGTTTGAGGCAGGCAGTCCGAAGCTCATGTAACAAGAGAGCTGGATGGAACACCAAGTGTCATCTGTCATATGTGGAATCAGTTTAAAAACAGTTGAAAAGTGTCCAGAAAACCAATACAAGTTGCACAAGAACCACAATGACCAGTGACAACCTGTATTTAATATTTTCAGCCAAGTGCCAAAAGAATGTCTACAGCCACACAATTGTCTCCTGACCTCACTGCTGCCACAGGAACATCACTTTCGAGGAAGACAGCTGCCAGAAGGCTCCATGAGATAGGACTGTATGCCAGAAACCTGCTATTTGAATCCCAGTCACACCCTCTCAGAAAAGAGAGCATTTACAATGGTGCATTGGACACAGCTTCAATGGGATAATATTCTCTTCACGGATGAGTCCATATTCAGTCGACAACCCGATTCTCGGAAATTATTGACATGGAGGGAACCTGGGACCCAATACCATCCAACATCTTGGAAAGGAACAAATATGTTGGTGGAAGAGTGATGGCCTGAATAGGGATCATGCAAGATGACTGCACACTGCTTCATGTGTTTGGCACTGGTTCGGTGAATGCCCGGAGGTATGGGCAGGAGATCCTAGAGCCCTCAGTGGGACATTTCAGGGAGGGCTGTTGGCCTGAGTTCATTTTTATTGATGATAATGTATGACCACATAGGGCTCACCTGTTGATGACTATAGGAAAGCGAGGACATTCGTCGAATGGTTTCGCCAGCCAAATCTCATAACCTTAATCCTATTGAACATTCTTGGAATGTTCTTGGGAGGGCTATTGCAATACACCAAATCCCACCCAGAACCATTCAGGAGGTAACAACTGCTCTGGTGGAGGAGTGGGTACAACTTCCGCAGGCACTTTTGAACTCTTTTGTCAACAGCATGGCTACTCGTTGTGCATGCCATCTTTGTCAGAGGTGACTATACAACATACTAGCCATATTTTCATAACCATCTTTCAATCTCAAATTTGGATCACATGGCAGTAACGCCAGCTAATGAATGATATTCTCAATATTGTTTTGTACACATTGTTGTCATACAATAAACTATATCCATACCTAATTTAATTTATTTCTATCGATGGCCTGAATAGGGATCATGCAAGATGACTGCACACAGTTCGCGATATATTTGGGGAAAAGTGTTCCATCGCTTAATTTTGTCCACCAGTGTATTTTAAGTAATAAAGTAATGTATACTAAGTGACCAAAAAGTCTCATTACTGGATAAAATGGGCACTTTTCACCAAAGATTAATAAAACTGTGTAAAATTAATGTGTAAGAATGTAAAATTTCGGGGAGGGGGATTTTTTTTTTACACTACATTGAAACTTCAGTTTACAAATTCAATGTGTTTCTGAATGCCATTCGTCAACTGAAATATTTAAACTTACTTAAACAACTGAAATATCTTGTGTACATGTTCATAACTCAAAATGAATTGAAATCATTAATCTATGATAAAAAGAGTGTGAACACTATATTAAACAGATAAATTAGATGAACATTTAATTTAATATACCTGTGTGAAGCAGAATGGACAATTTTAAACGGAAGATTATGATTAAGATGTTATCGTATTTATACAAAATTCCCTTCCATGAAAATATCATGTAACTGTCTTTGGGATGCATCTTTTTTTCATCTTTTCTGTATATCTAAGCAGACTTTCCTTTGTTTCAGACTCTCTAGGGCTTCATTTCACTCAAAATTTGTTCAGTGTGATTTGTTGTTATCTTATGTTTTAAAATGTTTCTAAAGTGAGACACAGCATTGTCACTGAAAATGTTTCTACTATAGCTTCCTAGTTTTAGAGGAATGTTCTTTTTGGGTTGAATTATCAGAATATTGTGCAATGCTATTTCTTTTGCTTTATTATTAATAATATATATTATACATACGTACATCCAGCTGTATGCTGAGATAATTACTACACGGCACACTGCCATTACAGAATTTGCTTGCCCTCTCCAATTCTAGCATTTCTCAATTTGCACGATCTAACAGCAGCTTTCTTAAAGTAGCATCTGATTATACTAGTGCTTTATCAAGGTAATATCATTACATAAAAACTTTGCATCTCGCCTCATTTTACACAAATTTTGCAGATCAGAAAACTAGGACATTCTTCTTAACTCATGTCTTCCAAAATTGTCTTTTGCTGCTGTTTTTAATGTTATTGTAGTTCTTACTTGTTGAGCTGGGTTTTCTAGTAATTTTTCAAATTTTCATTAACATTCTACCTTATGTTTTGCTTAGAGATGCAATATAATAGATTAAAAAAAGTCCTAATTGTCAATGCCTTCCTGTAACTGATGTCATAATTTCCTTCAGAAATTTATGGTCCTGTTAAGGCACTTGCTGTAGACTTTCTTCATGAGAATTAAGCAATGGAAAACATTAAAATGGTGTTTTCAAAAATCTCTGAGTGTGAATTATGTGGCCTAGGTTATCTCAAAATACCCGTGAAAAGCATTTGTTTCTGCTTTGAGTGTTTATTACTCAAGACACAGTTCGTTATCTGAGGTGTTTTTTGTTTAGATAATTTGTTTGTGAATCCAGCCATTTGTGCCCCTAGGTTCAGCCATTTAATATAAAATAAAATCTTTCATAGCAACATAATGATATCATTAAATATCTCTAACAGTTATATTTTGATTATTTCCATAGGTGAATGAAGCTGTCCATGATTGCGCTTATGTCTCAGCATATTTGCCGATATGTTGCATAAAATATTTTTGTTATAAACAGTAAATACGTTTTGTGTGTGTTTGTAAATATTATGAATATGTTTTTAAAATGTTTCTGTAAGAAGACTAATTACTGTATACTGAACTTCAGAAAATTGCTGTTATTTTTAAATCTGCATGTTAAAAATGCATAATAATTTTATCTATACTTTTTTGATTATCCAAATTTATATTTTTATTACTAAATACTATTTGTTTTCATTGCATAATTTGTAATAATTTCATATTCACTTAAACAAGTTTCACTATAAAAATGCTTTCATTTAAAAATTTGAATTGAAATATCACTGTGGTAAAGAATAGTGCTAAACAAATGTTTTGATATCTCATTATGAATTACTAACAGCTTTACTGTGTTTGCTGCTGTAATAAAAAATATACACTTATAAAACCAAGAATTTATTGTTGCTTTTTGGCTTGTTTAATGTAATATGAGAGTTAAGTTACTTAATGATAATTGCTTGTGAAATTAAAAATTATGTTTAAGGTAGAATTAAAAAAATTTGTAAATAAAAATTATATTTTCATTTTCAAATGAAACTATTTCTTTAAATGCTATTAAAAGGTTTGCTAAACATATGTTATTATTTGCTAAATCAAAAATTAAATTGTAATTATTCTGAAGTTTTAAAACTCATTTTTTTAAATTATATATCGGAGAAAAATCTCAATTTTCTGAAATTTTACTTTCAGATGTAAACTGTTTTTCAAAAAGGATGACAGTTATGCAGAGAAAGGTATTGGAACTGTCTACCTCAAGCCAATTGATGGGAAAACACAGCTTTTAATTCGGGCTGATACAAACTTAGGTGAGTTTTAAATATTAATACTATTTCATTCAGAGTATCTAACTATGTTACACTTAAGAGCATTATTAAATAAGACGGAATGCTTTTCTGTATCAGTATTATGTGACTGTCCTCCTGATCTGTGTGTAGTTCAGATCAGGTCTGTCAATTCATTGCAGATAAAAGGCAGGGAGTTAGTTGTGTTTGCCCTCAGTTCTAGGTACTTTAAGGTGATAAAATGAGTTTGCCCATCTTTGAAGGAGAATAGGACACATGCAAGGCCTCTCCTTACCCTGACACCTGAAATTGAAGGAGAATTGTAGCTCACATGTACTTTTAAGTACCCCATACTGCAAAGATAGTAAATATTTGCAAGCATCCAAGCCTTCAGGATTCAAAATCAGAACCAATGATCTGGCAGCTAGCACTATTAAAAATTGCATCAATCCGAGAAGCTCTGTGTCAGCTTAGTACCATGAATTGATTTGTGCTTTTCTGCTTGATGGTATTTATTTGCTAAAAAGCTTGCGTTCATTTAATTAGCAAACCTTTATCAAGGTGGGAGTTTAAAAAATTGAAATGAGTTAATAGTTGATGAATGGGTGTTTTCCACTTTGAATAATTCAATTGGCTTAGATTCTGTCTATGCCAAGAGATGTTCAGTAATGAATCTATCATGTTAGTTTAACTGCCTTTTCTTCATATATGAAGTGGCTGCAGTGTTGAAGCTACATAAAAGATACCTTGATCTTCCATTTCTAAATCAGAACTTAGTAGGCTTTTTTTCCACGTTTTTTGTACGTCTCTTGAGAAGAAGAGTATATTGAATGTTAGGAAGAAAATGATTGGGCAACATATTTAATTATAAATTAAAATAATTATTTGAAACAATATAGTTATTTAATGTTATTCAAGTAGTGGATAAAGCATTTTTTATGTCCATTTATTTGATAACTTATTATGTGAGATGTAAACTATATTTCCAAGACTATACAGAATTCTCACGTGGCAAGTCCCTTAAAGTCAGAAAATGAAAAGTGATTGAGGATTGTGAGCAAAAACATTAACTTTTTCATAAAGTTGGAAAAGTCTGGAATGTTTTCCCCAAAAGTCAGGGAAGGTTAAAAAGCGTAGAATTTAATGTTTTCAGTGTTAATAAAAAGTTCAAAAAATGATCTATAAAAAAAAACTGGTGTGTGTAAAAATGAAAGCAAGTAAAGAGGATTGTGGTCAATTTCTTCCTCAGAGTATTTTACAGGTAGCTCTTCTTTGCACCTGTTAATGAGCTGTTGTCGATTCTTCTTTGTATCTATGTAACTATTCGTTACTTTCGATATGAAATGTAATTGCCCTTCAAAAATAAATAATGTAATTTAGAAGTCATTTAATGTGTAACTTCATATAAGTTAGAATTATAAAAGAGTTCAAAAAATAAACCTAAAAAAATAAAAGAGTTATAAAAGATATATTACTTAAACATTTTTCTCAATCCAGTATAATTCTCAGCTCTTCAGGATTACTTTGAAACACTATAGAAGTAATGTTTATTATTGAATAATGTATGTTGTTATACATTTCTTTTGAAAAATGAATATTTTCCCCTTAGAATTTGATGTTTTTAGTTAAAAGTTATGTGTACATTTTTTAATGATGTAGATCAGGATATCCCAGCCAGGGGTAGAATTTCATAATTTAGGGGAGGATGCAGTCAACTTTTAGCTTTTAATTTAGCTGTTAAGTAATCAGTTTTAGTTTATGAGTATAAAAAAGTACTTTTATTCAAGGTTTGATTAATTTATAAAACACATAAAAAATAATCTAAATAAATATACATTTATTTTTTCAATTTTTAAAAGGAGGTTGTTTTGTCAGTTGGTGAAAAGTATGCATGGGGTAAAACAGGTTGAGAATTACTCATTTAGTTGCATGTTTCCTTTATATATTTCTTTCATTTTGCTTCACAGTAATGAATAAGATAAATTTTTGTTTTGCTCTCTGCTTTTCATTCTATTTTTTATTTATTGCATAAAAATATTCAGTTATGCATATTTAATTTAACTAGTTCATATATTTTGTCAGGAAAATTAAAAGTTGAATTTCAACTGGATCCCTCTTATATCTATTATATCTGTTTAGTAAAAACAATAAAGGTGTTTTACTATGTGAAATTTTCTGTATAAACATTTCAGGTTTTGTCCAACTTTTTGAAAAAAAATTAATGCTTTCAATCACAATCCCCAATCACTTTTTATTTTCTGACTTTACAGTCCTTGCCATGTGAGAACTCTGTATAACATTGGAAATGTTTGCCCATCTTTGCATGTCACATGACAAGTTATCAAATAAGTGGACACCAAAAACTGCTTCAGTATCCATTACTTAATAAACACCAAATTATCACATTGCTGCATGTAATTACTTTCTTAATATTCAATGTACTCTTCTCCTCAAGTGACATCCAGTTATGCATATTTTGGGCTTTTTATATGTGTTTAGTGGATGTAATACTGCATGTACTTGTGATTCAAAAGTAACAGAAAAGGTAAAAAAATAATAATTCAAAAATTTTGGATAGTAGCAAGATGTAGTAGTAACAGAAATTTGTGAAAAAGATCTGCTGTTTTTATTGCTTTTAAATGATGAAAAATTTTGTTACTAGAATGGTTAATTTTTTTTACCAACAGGTGACTCTATAAGTAGTCCTGAAGAATTAGCATTTTGTACAGGATTGTTTGACAGTTGGTCAGGATCATCCTTCAAAAGTATTCTTAAAAAATCAAACATGTACAGGAGCTGAAACCAAGCACTTTTGAGGGATGTCATTAATTTTCTAGTCATTAATTTTCTAATTAGGCTTTTCGGGGGGGGGGGGGGGGGAAAACACAGGGCAGACAATGTTCAAAATACTGTTAATTGATGAGGTACACTTTTCACTTAATGGAAACGTAAATGCACATAGTTGCAACATGAGCAAGAGAGAGCCTACATGCAATTGTGGAAACCCTTTGCATTAGCTAAAGATGATTGTCAGAAAAAAATAAAAAATAAACATTTATGTAATTTTTCTATAGCAGTGAAAGTATAAGTACCTACATAATAAGGAAGTTTGGGTACATGGATTAAAAAAGGATTAATCATCAGTAAAATAAGGATAAAAAAGTGTTTTTTTTTTTTATTATTATTATTATTTTATTTTAAAGAACAAATATTTTTTGTTACACTGTTCAAAGCATGTTTTTGTCTTCTTGGTACATGCATAGACTGACATTGCACTTTTTGCACGTGTATCTTCTTCTATGAGGTTTCTTCCTTGTGCTACAAAATGTACACTGATTGGATCTAAATTTCACTTATATATGTCTAGCGTTATTTAGTTTCTTTTCATCTGGCACGTTAAATTTGTCGTTTTTTTATATTAATTGGGGGCTTGGTCTTTTTGGCTTTGGTACAGATCATTCGTTTCTCATTTTTACTTATTTTATTCGTATTTCGTCCCAAAATATTCAGAATTTTTTAAAATTTAAATAAAACTTTATGCAATTTCTATTTTTAATTACAGCAAAATATATTTACATTAAATTTAAACCACAAGAAATAATTTATAAAATCGCAATACTAGCTTAGGGAGCAAGTGTGCTGAGGTCTGAGAAAAGTCTCTAGAAAAACAAGACCTTTTTACTGAGCAGGTGCATGTATTTAATAATAAAATAACTATGGTTTCAAAACCCCTTATCTATATTCGGGTAAAAATAAACATTCCTATTTGAGAAGCAAGCAAACGCCATTGTAAAGAGCAGTGGTTTCAAGGTGCGACCACCAAGCCTGTAGAGAATTGTGAGCATTGTGACACAATGCTCTAGTCGTGCAGTGGTCGCGCCCTGAAACCACAAAGCAAATCCATACATATAGAGGGTTTTTTTATATATGCAGTTTAATTATTGCTATTTTTTGTTGTTTGTGATAGAAATCATGTTGTGCCATGAATAACTTTTGAAATTTAAAGTTGTTTATATGAATAAAAGGAAGTTATTTTGTCTCAGTGAAAACGAATTTTAAAAGGCATCTGGTTTAAAGTACTAAGACCTAAAACATGTATGATTCTGCAGTCATTTTGTGTTATTTAGTGGTAAAAGATCATTAATCAATTGATTTTCACTCAAAAATTTCAGAAGGAAGAGGAGGAAAAAATTCGAAAATTGGTGGTTTCAGGGCACGACAACCACGCATCAAAGAGTTAAAAAGAAATAGTAAATATTGATATTAGCCTTGTACTTCTAATTGCAAGGCTTTTCAAACTGATGTAACACATTTTGTGAATGCAAGTGGGAGAGCTCTATAAATATAAGATTTAACTTTTTATATGGTCCTTATTGAAATAAGCATAAGATTAAATATATTTCTCAAATAATGAGTTTAATACAAAATGTTTTATATCATAATGTGCAAAGCTCTCTGGTATAATTCAATCATAAATTTTACTTTCATCAACTTTCAGTGGCTCACTTTTGCAGTTGCAGTTTTGGTAATAAAAGTAGTGCTCATTATTAAATTTTTATGTGGATCCTAGAAAATATGAAGTATTTAAATCTGATATGTAAAAGTTTAAAATTCTTTGTAATAAATGTGCTAAAATATAAAACTAAATGTAGCTTTGTACTAACTGTAACTTTTGCTCTATGGGGAGCATATAGAAAGTTAGATTTTTTTTTTTTTATTTTTTTAGAACCTTCTTATTCACATCATTGAAACTGTTTCATGAAATTTTTATGTTATTTTGGTGATCTTTATAAATAGAAATGTATGTTTAAAGGCCAAATGTGTAAGGTTATAAAATCTGTAACCACCTTCTTTGAGCACTCTAAATTTTCATTGAGGAACATTTTTCGTTGCTGAAGGATAAAACGCATTAGGGAGCACCCAACAAATTATTCAAATATTTTTGTTGCTGTAAATCATCCATATTATTATAGAAGCTGAAGACCAATTTATAGTTAAAGCACAAAAGTATTGTAATTCAGTGTACAGTTGAACAGACTAGCTATTCAGTTGCCAAGGTTTGATAGTTTCCTTCATATATAGTTAAATATAGGCAAGCATCCTGTACACGGTCCTAATATTCCCCCCCCCTCCTCAGAGACAGGTAATCTGCTAAAAGCAAAACTTAGATTAATAATGATATAAGTTTAAAAAATGGAAACATTTATAAAGAAATAACTTATAATCTTAAAAACAGTATTGGGACTCGAAAGTACAAGAAATTAAAAAGGATACGACAGGAATAATTTTCATGTAATTCACTGTGAAGGTTAACTGAAAATTTTATATATATATATGCTGCCAAATATTTCTGATATTAAACAAAGAAATTTCCTCTTAAATGGAGAAGATGCAATGTTTTATGTGAATTTATGAATTACTATTCACTAAAGCAATAACGTTACTTTAAAGGTCCAGTTATGTAACGAAATCTCTCCAACACAAAGTTATAAAATTATTTCTGTGTTTTCAAATTTTCATATCTTTGTTATTGTGGTAGAAGGTAAATTAAAAAAAAAAAAGTGTTATACAGATTAGTGCAAATTTCTGTAGAACATTTATATACACAGCCATAGTAGTTTTGTTTAGAAATGTATTTAAAAGATCTGTTAAAGCTGACCAAGTAAGTTCAGTTGAAAGAGAGAGACATTGACATTTGATACTTGCATGAAATTATATCTATAAAATGTGAATTAATTTTTATATTTGAATTAGTGTAATATTGTTAGCAAATACAGAAATATAATTCAGTTTTATTCATTATATATAAAGAATATGTGTTACATGTTAATATTTGCAAATCATTCCAGTTTCATTTGTTTTTAAAATCAAATTTTAATATTAATTAAATATGTTTCTGATCTTTATTAGGTAACATTTTGCTTAACATCATGTTAAGTTCTTCTCTACCTATGTCTCGTACCGGGAAAAATAATGTGCTGATAGTGTGCATTCCAAATCCACCAGTGGATATTAAAAACCCTGATTCTAAAGAAGCCATTCCAATCCTCATACGTGTCAAAACAAGTGAAGATGCAGATGAACTTCTAGAAAACTTAAATAAATATAAATCTTGAAGATGATAACATCATTGATCCTTCATAGCTTCTGTCAAATTCTCAATATTTCAGAAATTAAAAGTATCTTAAAAAATTAAAATGAATACTCATTTGTGAGCTTTTTATCTGTAAAATTGTCATCTCTAAATAAAAATTTTGGTTTATAATTTGTTTTATTTTGTAAGAGTATGTGCAGTATGGGTCTGTTTTTTTATAATAGTACTTTGTGATATAATGAATTGCCTTGTATACATTTTTTAAACCAAAATGAAATTTGTAAATATGTAATAAAGTTGCAGTTCCTAAGAGCTAAAGTATTTCTGATGTAGTTAAGATTATAATTTATGCAGAATAATTTTCTTCTTTAGTAGATTTTCCTGTAAATGATTATGTGAGAGTCTGAAATTTTGAAAATCTGCAAAATCATAGTTCTCTTAAATCATTTTGATTATAAACTTCATATCCACATTTAGTTAGTAGGGAATGGTGATTATTTTATCTAAATTATCCTTTGCAAGTAAATTTGTTTTATGAATTTAAAGTGTAATATGTTTGAGCATTTATTATGCAAAAATATCTCCTTATATCTGCAAAAACAAGAAGTTTCACTTTAAAATATTATTCTGGTTGTTTCAGTTGTTGCTTTTTCTTGAAAAGTCTAAGCCTTTTTTTCATGCATTAAATTTCAACCATTTCATTATCAGGGGGAAAATATTCAAATTATTTATATTTGAGTTCATTAATCAAAGGTCAGTGGCTTTTAATTGAAAAGTCTGTGCAGTTTCTATTTTGTATTATAAGAATTTAAGGACACAAACCTTCATGGTAAATTCCAAGTCATTCTCATCATTTTGTGTTTTTGTGGTCATGAAAGCAGAAACAATTGTGATGTAACATTTCTGCCTGAAAAGTTTTCTATAATACCATTTTGTGCTACAGAATTGTGAAATTTAACACATTCATTCCTACAGATGAGATATCTTGCCTTTTGTATAGTCTTTCCATATTGCAACATATGCCAGCTGCTAGTTTGAAAAATTAACCAAAAAATAAATAAGGCAACTCTGTCATCAAATCATATTGCATTCTGAATTAAACAAATGCACATGTGGCATTGATAGACTAGATTATCTGATTTTATACAACTTGGGATTTTGCAAATGGTTAAAATAGTATGGAACATTTGCTTCAGTGTTTTGATTTAGCTAATGCTAAAACCCATTTGTTGTAAAATACAGTGGAGAACATTCACAGATAATCTTTTACAGAAAAATCATTAATTCATTGTAAACTCTGATAAATATAAAGGCACACCAGTTTTGAACAATTATTTCTTACGTCATAAATTGCTGAATTCTAAGGGATGGGCAGCATTGCCTGGAGACAGTACTGTTGCATTTTATGGGTTCATGGATTTGGGGTGATTGATTACAACACTTGATGAAGAATCAAAACACAATTTATTCGTCAGTATTTTACAGGACAGTTCCAAGGATTTGGTACAGTTATTGAAAAACTGTGACTACCTCGCTGAAACAATCAGCAAGCACAGGCTATCTGACTGTAATGGTAAAGATAGCTTCACAGCAAACCACTTAAGTACAACTCCTGACTTAGTCGATCGCTCTCAAGCTAATCTCTGAAACTTGAAAGTACTATTACTGAACTCAAGATGCATCAGATACTCCTACTCTACATACAGGCAGAGTTTATATAGATTTTGGCCTGCTTTTGAGAACATTCTGGGGAAAAACAGTAAGAATTTGTTCAAAATAGTGATTCTCAATCAGTGGTACGCAAAGAAATAAAGTATTTTAACTATTAACCCTTAGCGCTTCGCTACGGAGCCGCCCGTCATTTGTTCCGTAGGCTCCGCTGTGGAGCCCAATGTTTTTAGCATGATTAGGCTTAAGATGTTACGGAATCGTCGGCATTGGCAATTGTTATCTGTAGTTAAAACATGCTCAGTCTCGCTACTGTTACAATTGAAACATTATTTGACCCGTTTTATGGTTAGCAACATGGAGAAAAATAATTATTGTGATGAGAATATAAAGTAGTGATAGTGAAGATGTGTTTGATTTTTCATTGTTAGAAGATATTGTGGAAGAGAATGTTGATTATAATTCTGACACTTCAAGTAGTGGTTCCGAAATTATGCCACGAAAGAGACGACGAATGGTAGTTATTGAAAGTGAAAGCGAAGAGTTGCCGGAAGACTTAGATGAATGGCGCAATGTCACGGAAGAGTTAGATATTCCAGATAGAATACAATTTAGTGTATTGCCAAAGGTTATTGGACCACAAAATTCCTACGAATATTGTACAGCCGACACAATATTTAAAATTATTTTTCACAAACGAACTGGTAAATGAAATTATAAAAGAAACCAACAATTATGCAAAAAATGTTCATCTAGTAATTCTATTTGGAAAACGTGGCGTGCGGTGGAAGAGGATGAGTTTTGGTCTTTTATTGGAGTTATCAATATGGGTATGATATCCCTGGCGAATATGCAGGATTATTGGTCAGTTAAGGAGAATAGTCACATCCCTTTCTTTGGTAAAATATTTACAAGAAAGAGATTTATGCAGATATTCTGGATGCTGCATTCTGCTGCGAAAATCTGCTGGTAGGCAGTGGTACAAAAACATGTGGAGCGCTAAGGGTTAAATTAAAAAATCTCATAAAGAAAACAATTGATAGAAATTTCCTGTGATCGAACTCTAACTGAAGATTTAAAAAATAACACACTTGCTAACTTTTGTCTGGACGCCCCCCATCCCTGAAAAAAAAGAATTTAAAACCGTTTCACATAAAGCTGTTAAATTTTTATTGCCTTTTTGCACACCCTATTTGTGTGAACAAGAATTTTCTTTCATGATTTATTTGAAAAAGAAATAAAGAACAAAATTGAAAGTGGAGCCTAATTTACGTTTAAAGTTAAGTGAAATAAGACCAAAGATAAAGAAATTGATCTCTCTTAAACAGGTCCAAATTTCACACTAAATTTTAGAATTAGAAAGTATTATAACTTAAATTTTGATCTAATATATTTTTTTACGTGTGCATATTTAATACAAATAGCCAGTAGGTTGTGCAAATTGCAATATATATATACACTGCTCGACATTGAAAATGCAACACCAAGAATGAGTGGTCAGAAATTTATGCAAATTTTAGAGTAGACGCACGTCACTGAGTTATGCGAATGATGTGAAATGTGCAGCTCTCTGACACACGTGAAGTAAGATATAAGGGAAGGAATGGGAAATATTTGTGTCGTTATTTCTGCCAGACGAATTATCGAAGAAAGTTGGTTTTTGTCCCGGAGGATACATATGGTAGGAGAGAATGCCAGCCTGCCGTCAACAAACACGCTTCGAGCAGATAGACGATTTTACAAGGGGTATGGCGATTGGACTGAGAAGGGAGGGTTGGTCCTTATGTCAAATCGTAGCTGATATCCACATGGATGTGATCGTGGTGCATCGGCTATGGGGAACATGTTTGGAACAAGGAAATGTTGGAAGAACAGGGTTCATATGGTCTATAAGAGTCCTTAATTTTGGCCAAAAAGCAACAGAAGGTCCATAATTTTAATCATCTGAAATTTCTGTCTGTTTTTATGACTGTCATTTTGAGTGTGAACTAGTATTTTGAGGAATATTTTTGCTCATTCACTGCCGTATATATGGTAATCTTTTGAATGGGTTCATGAGTTATATTTTTTTTTTCTATTTCTAATATAAATGATGGGATACTCGAGTTTCTACACAAGAAGTGAAACATAAGCATTTTAATTTTTCTAGTAAAAAGCTCTTAAACAACTTTTTGCTTTTGGGGATGTGAATTCTTTTATTAAATGGTTCTAAATTTGGCGATTTTAAGATTATTTTCTATAGAAAAATTTTAGTTCCAAAATCTGAGAATTTTTCAACAATTTTTTTAAAACATTGTAACATTGATAAACTTTATTAAAATAATGGTAATATATTGAAATTATATTTAAAAAATAACATTAAAATAAAACAATTTTATTTTTCACTGTCATATTATAAAGTTTCATTTTGGAAACTTATAAAATATTTTAAATCTGAAAAATAAACAAGGTATAATGCTATAAAGCACAATTTATGAAACGGCTCTTAGCAAAAGCAAAATTAGCTATGTAATTAATAAAAAAGTCTTGTTTTTAATTTTTTCATAGTAAGAGTTTTTCCCATGTAATTGTCTCAGAATATTCAAAATTCTCAGAATGTGCATCAGTTTTCTCTATAAAATTAATTTTATACTTTTTCCCTCCTACTTTTTTCAAAATATTTCTGCCTTTTTTCTGTTATGGAAATGGTAAGGATAATTTTTCTTTAGGATTTTAGACATTGCAGCTTGGAAAATTTAGAAGGATTTGAAGGCAAGATTTATAGACCCACGATTCTGGAAGTTTCAAGAAATATGTGACAAAATGAAAAATGTCTCCATGGTATCAACACGTAGTGGATGTATTTTACAGAAAGTTTGCAGTGAATTTCTTAATTTTGGGAGAACATCTGGAAGAACAATGAAAACATATTTGAATATATTACTTCTGACACTAGAATCTTAACATACATATTTTCTCTACTTTTCACTAGACAGAAGCATGGAAAATATCAAAAATGCTTCTGATCTTATCACATGGTCAGGCATTATAGAAAGGGATTTTTTTTATTAATAAAGAAATTGAAAACTTGCAATTTAAAAGATTCATCTAATATTTCTTAATGCATCATACACATAGCTGGCACTAGGCATTTTCTCACCTGATGCAATCTCTGTGGATCGTACATTCTGCTGCCTACTGCCTTTCTAAATTCAGCTTCCAATGCTTGCTCTAAATTCTAAGTTTTGCCATTTCTAGATTTTGTTGTTCGGTGTGTCACTAAATTCTAGAAATTCTGCCACATCAGCTCTGTAATCGTCTTTTACTATATATATTTCATATTGCTTCTGAATGTTCATATTACTAAAGAAATAAGATTAGCCACTTTTTCTGTACATTCTAAATGCATTTAGTGTTCTTTAGAATAACGGAAATCCAAAAATTCTAAAATGTGTTGAAAGAAAGAAACTGAGTACATAAAGAAAATTATTATGTAAATTACGCAATTGTTTATGATTTCAACCTT